ATTGAGGCCCAGGCATTCCTCTACTTCTGAGGCCTGAGCCCTGTAATTTTCTTTCTGTCAGCTCTTCAGGTGATTTGCTGTATACGAAAGCTTATGAACAGCACTAGACTAGATCAGTAAAATCAACATCACAGGCACACTATGGAGGAAGGTGTGTGAAGCCAGCTCAGAAGGATGGGAATATTGGTTTGTCCCGTACGTACACCCTACTTAACCATTTTCTCACCTGTCTCCTCAGAGGGATCAGAGGCACTTCCCTCACCAAGACATTAGGTGTTGCTTGACATATACTGGTATAAAAACTGCTAGGTCCCCTGGACAGGAACCAATTTTGGGTCAAGTGTATTCAGAAACCCTTATCCAGTTGTAATACCAAAGCCAGTTTGTCAGAGTCCCTCGGCTGTGGGGAAGGCTGGGTGCCTATAAGAAAGAGTCCTGGTATGCAGGGGTGGAGTGGGGGGTGGTGGTACATGGGGCAGTCCTCTGGGCACTGAGGTCAGCCCTGCCCCCGCGGGCTCCCCCTGGACAGTGGCCCCTGTGGGGTGGCAGCCCTCCTAGTGAGTGGCCAGCATGGGCTCTGAGGCCTTGTGTGTCCACCTTTGAGGAGACAAAGAAAACTTTCAGACTTTTGACTGGTGTTGAACACATTGTTAGAAGGAAAAACTGTGGCATTCTAATTGAAAATGATCAATCAGTTGAAATCTGCTGTGGTAACTGCTATCTTTTCTGTAACCAACCTGAGTCAAACACATGAAACCTCTGTATTAACAATAAAAGATAATTCTAAGTATGGTACCTTCCTTAATGTGGAAAAAAATTACAAAATGGCCTTTCCTGAACTTTGAAGAGAGACGATAGAGTTACTTTTGAAGTGTTTGAATGTAAATTCAGAGTAGAGTATGAGCATTTGGTTGCATTCCCTTCTCATCTTTTTATAACCAAATTCTCATCTTTTTGTAACCTAATCTTGGAGGTGACATCCCATCACTTTTGCTGTGCCTTCTTAGTTAGAAGAGGGTCACTGGGTCCAGCCCACATTTAAAGGGAGGCGAGGACTGTGAATATCAGTTGGCAGGCGTCGTCGGGAACCGTGTTAGAGGCACCTGCTATACAGCAAAGAAGCAACTGGATCTGGTGCCCAGTTCAGGGGAGATGTTATATATATCTCAGGGGAGATAACCGCCATGGGCCTGGGTGAGGAGAGCTGGGAGTGACTGAGACAGAGGAGAGAAGGGGACCAAAGACTGAACCCGAGCACTGCAATGCTGGAGGTCAGGGAGGTGAGAAGGAGCCTGCAAAGGTGATGGAGGGGGAAGGCCAGCAAGGCAGGTGGAGGGTGGAGAGTGGCAGCCTTGGTGTTCCACAGGCCAAATGAGAAAAATGTTTGCAGGACAGGGAGGGATCCGCTGGCCAAAAGCCACTGAGAGGTCTGGCAGGAGAAGTCGGAGGAGTGAACATGGGATTGGGCAGCGTGGAGATCACCGGACTCAGTGAAGTGAATGGGGTTCTAGAGAGAATGGGAAACCAGGAAGTGGAGGCAGGTGCAAACACTTTCGAGAAGTGTTGGCATAAAGGAACGTGAGGCCTTGTATCTGAGCATCTTCAGTTTTCCTGCATCAAGAAACTCTCAGCTGAGCTGATTCTTGGAACGCGGCTTCTTCCTCCACCTCTTCTGAAATTCACAGGCCTCCAGCCTCACAATCTCCCCACCACCACCCCAGCTGGGATGGCGGATTGGGAAAAACACTGGTCTGCTCAGGTTTTATTTGTTTCTGGTACCAACAAGTCACAACCAGTCATGCCTTGTGAGACTAGGACAGAATCCTCAGTCATCAGCTTGAGGCTTCCTAATTCCCAACCAGTCATCCCTAGAGGATCCGGCCAATGCGGCAAACAGCTCTAAGCAAAAGCTTATTGCTGACTGCCATCTGGTGGTCATTTGGGGAACTGGCCTGGATCCAACTCCCCTTCACAGGGTGGTCGGAAGAATTGCGTGAACTGTTAGAATAGCACCCGGCGCTTATTAAGTGTTCAGTAGAAGTGGGCTACGGTCATTATGCTNCCGGCGATGGCGTAGGCTACAGCCCCTGTGGCAGTGAGTTGCCATGGGCTACCGTGTGTAGCCAGCAGCCAGTGTGAGTGGCCAGCAGCCGCAGTGAGCGGCCGTCCAGAAGCTGGCGACTGATCTGCCTCACCCAGGAAGAGCGCAATGATGGTGCCAACTTAGGCCAGTGAAGCAACGTCCTCCACAAGAAAACTGAAGAACAAAATGACAGCAACTTGTCTGTTCCCCTTCCCCCAATTCCCCAGCACTGTTCCCTTCCCCGCAATACCCCAATAAAAAAAAATCTTAAAAAAAAACCCAAAAAGACCCCCTCAAAAAACAAGCAGAAGCACTATAGCTGAGCACTATTGAGAAGATAGGTTCAATGAAAACATTACAGTTACTACAAATAAACAAACAACGACAGCAAAACAAAACAGCAATAGTAACACCTCTGGTGCAGATTAGAGGCCAGAGGTGACAGAGTATATTATATAAAATGTCAACTTTTCAAAATAAAAGATAATGAGTCATGTAATGAAAACAGAAATTTTACTCCATAGCAGTGAATAGAAATCATCTGTGGACATTCAGATGTTGTACTAAGTAGGCAAATACTTTATATAATCTATTATGAATATGTTGAAAAACCAAAGGAAACCATATTTACGAATTAAGAGAAGATACAACAACGACTCACCAAATATAGACTATAAAGACATAGAAACGATAACACAAGAACTAAGTAGAAATTCTAGGATTGAAATGTTTAATAATTGAAATAAAAATTCACTACAAGGTCTGAAACACAAATTTGACCTGACAGACAAAAATTCAGTGAACTTGATGACAGGTCAATTGCAATGATCCCATCTGACAGCCATAAAGGGGAAAAAATAAAGACTAATGAGAAGAGCCTCAGATACTTATGGGAGACCATCAAACATACCAACATACATGTAACTGGAATCACAGAAGAAGAGGCCAGGGAGAAAGAGGCAGAAAAATTACTTGAAAAAGTAAAGGCCCTAAATGTCCCAACTAGTATGAGAAATATTAATCTACATATCCAAAAGCCAGATGAACTCATAGCAGATAAACCCAAAGAAGTCCACAGCCCACCTCTATTTCTGATCATAGTGAAACTGTCATGAGCCAAATACATCATAGAGACATCATATTGAAAATATCAAAAACCACGCACACACCAATTTCAGGTAGCAAAAGAGAAATAGAACTCATTATGTACAAGAGAACCTCAATAAGGTAACAGTAGATTTCTCGTTGGAAATAATGAAGTCCAAAATTTAGTGGGATGATATATTCAAAATGCTGATAAAAACTCCAAGCTGTCAACCAGTAATTCAATACCCAGCAAAACTATCCTTAAAAAAAATGAAGGTGAAATAAAGACATTCCCAGGTAAACAAAGGCTGAGAGAATCTGTTGCTAGCATATCTGCCTTCAAAGGAAAAATTTCAGCTTTCTGGGTTCCACATGGCTAAACACACCAAGAAGGTTGGAATCACAGGTAAATACAGGACCTGTTACGTCGCCTCCCTCAGAAAAATGATGAAGAAAATTGAAATCAGCCAGCATGCCAAACACACTTGCCCCTTCTGTTGCAAAACCAAGATGAAGAGACGAGCTGTGGGGATCTGGCACTGTGCTTCCTGCATGAAAACAGTAGCTGGTGGTGCCTGGACCTACAGCACTGCCCTCACAGTAAAGTCTGCCATCAGGAGACTGAAGGGATTGAAAGACTAATAGAAGCTCCACAATTTGAAACATTTCTAGCCTATAATAAATGGGTTAATTTATGTAACCAATAAAAAAGAAAAATTTCAGACTGAAATAAAATGACACCAGAAGTAACACAAATCCATATGAAGAAATAAGGAGCACTGATAAAGGTATTATGTTGGTAATTTTAAAAGACAGTAGAGATATATGTTTTACTCATTTCTACTGTTAAGTAGAGATTTAAAAGAGGAGTGCATAAAATAATGATTACTTAACTATTGTAGAGCTTAAAATGTATAAAGATTTAATTTCTATGACAATAATAACACAAATGTGAGGGATAGGAAGGGAACTGTATTGAAGTAAAGTTTCTGTGTACTATTGAACTTAAGTTAGCATTAATATG